AACCGACATTGCTTGTTTAGATGAAGCGTTGGTTGTTCTGGATTGCAAGTCTTGCCTGTTCTTGAACAGAATCCTTCGCTGACAAACCTCAAGTATTACCTCAACCCAATTGCCTACGCATGGCAAGCTTGCATGGAGAACGAGTTCATGCGTATTCAGGTATTTATCAATCCTTCGCATTTCCGACTTGTATGAAATAACTTATAGCTAACTTGTGACGGGGCCTCCGTCATTCCTCGCAATGTAGGAGACGTCAACAAGTATCCGTCAGTCATTTGACGTGCATATACCATTTACATTTTCATCTGATTTTGCTGCCACAGAGTCGGACTTGGGCCGAATCAGGTTTGCACGCTTTTCGGCTCCAGTGCGGGCAGCAGCAATGTGTCGGGGGAAGATTATATCTCGGCTGGCTATGGACTCTCCTCGAGCAACCTCTGGAAGCGAAATTTCCTTGTGCTGATCGGGTTTATGCTTGTATTCCAGCTCACGCAAGTCCTGGTACGTCTGCCTAAGGAAATGCATATACCGTCTCCTGAGCATTTCTTCCTGCAGTCGCTTGAGTTTTTCCCTGTAAGATTTTCGTTGCTCAGTCAAGGAATCCTTGTTCACCAGCTTGTTTTAGCAATACGACCAAAATCTTACTGTTGCGGTATATCAAATGCAATCTACTTCGTCGTGCTCTGCTCACTCGAACCCTCAGATCTACGCGAAGGAAGATAACGACACGAAAAAAAGGAATGAAGTGCTCCGCGCGCGCAAGGCCGAACGGAAAGGCAAAGGTCACTCTGACTCGGAACTTGAGCCAGAACCGGTACAGGAGAAGAAGGGGTTCGATGAATTCCTGTCTCGTCATTCCCTCCATCTGCTGATACCTTTTTGCCAGTCCCATATCAGGTAGCAAGAAGATCCTGACTTGGGAGAAGTTGAATTACCACGTCCCCGTTCCTGGAGGAACACGTCGGCTGCTCCATGATGTCCAGGTACGACCTTCCTTCGCGCTGTGTGCCGTTACTCAGACTAGGCGACTCGCAGGGTTACGTTGGACCAGGTCTCACCGCGCTCATGGGGGCCAGCGGAGCTGTATGTGACCTATTTTCGTCCCTCCAAACCCTCTTAACATTTGTAGGGTAAAACAACGTGCCTCGACGTATTGGCGCAACGCAAAAACATCGGTGTTATCTCTGGAGACATCCTGGTTGCTGGTCGGCCTCTCACGTCCGACTTTGCGAGAGGTACAGCTTATGGTATGTCTCATTCGGACCTTGTCGTGCTGTGGATTAAATAAACACCATTAAAGCTGAACAAATGGATGTACATGAAGGCACCGCCACTGTGCGGGAGGCGCTCCGCTTCTCAGCATATCTCCGGCAACCAGCTGAGGTTTCCAAGGAAGAGAAGGATGCATACGTCGAAGGTGATAAACTTTCTCGTCTCGACCTTCATGATTAATATTTTCTTTCGCCAGAAATGATTGAACTTCTTGAGCTACAAGTATGTACTTGCTCGAGAGACCAACTTTTCAGCTAACCAATAAATAAAAAAGGACCTTTCTGAGGCTCTCGTCTTCTCCCTTAACGTTGAGTCGAGGAAGAGACTGACCATTGGGGTTGAATTGGCAAGTAAACCGGAGTTACTGCTGTATTTGGTAATCCAAATCCTAACCTGCCACATTTAACTTCTAACGAAATACAAGGACGAACCAACGAGTGGACTAGATAGTTGGTTTTGCCCTCGATAATTTTGCAACCATTCTCACCTGAAATCACAGGTCAAAGTGCTTTCAACGTCGTGCGCTTTTTACGTCGGTTGGCGGACTCGGGCCAGGCCATTCTGTGCACCATTCACCAGCCCAGTGCCCTGTAAGACCTTCCTCTCTTTATAGAGTGATACCGATTTCTCATCCTCTGCACAGGTTGTTTGAATCTTTCGATAGACTTCTGCTGGTCAGTATATCCAATTCCGTCACAACGTTCTCTTGCTAACGCCACCTTGAAGCTCGAACGCGGGGGCGAAACTGTGTACTTCGGTGACATCGGCAAAGACTCGCAAGTGATTCGCGATTATTTCGCGGCCAATGGAGCCGTCTGCCCACCAAATGTCAACCCGGCCGAGTACATGCTGGAGGCCATTGGTGCAGGGACGACTCGGAGGGTCGGCGACCGTGATTGGAAAGACATCTGGTTGGAGTCCCCACAGTGCCAGAAACTCCGGGATGACATCGCCGCCATCAAGGCCGAAGCTCTCGCCCAACCCGAGACGGATAAGAAGGCACTTACGACTTGTAAATATTTTTTATTATCCCACCAAGATTTTTTGTACTTATCTTTGCCGCCCCAGATGCGACCCCTTTCCTCTATCAGCTTCGTATCGTGACTGTCCGCAACTACCTCGCCCTCTGGAGATCGCCTGATTACCTGTTCACCCGGCTCTTTGTCTGCGGCTTCATCTCGCTCTTCGTCGCGCTCTCCTTCCTACAGCTGGGTAACGGTCTCCGGGACCTGCAATTCAGGGTGTTTGCACTGTGAGTCAAATGTTTCTACCTGCCAAGTTACCAGCTGATGTTCTTTCTAGATTCTGGGTTTCTATTCTGCCCGCAATCGTCATGTCACAGATCGAGCCGATGTTCATCATGAACCGCAGGATTTTCATCCGAGAGGCCTCAAGTCGCATATATTCGCCATTCGTTTTCGCCATTTCACAAACGATTAGTGAAATTCCAGGGTTCGCCATTTCTTTTCAGTCACCATTTCGACCTTGCTGACTCAGTTGCCGTTTGTCAGGAGCATAGTCTGTAAGTTGTTGGCACGGCTCGGGCTGTTTTTTTTTACTTACGCGGCTAACCTCAAGGCGCCCTCGTTTACTGGGTGCTCATGGTGTATCCTATGGGCTTCGGTCAAGGCAGCGCGGGCTTAAACGGCACTGGCTTCCAGCTCCTAGTGACAATGATAATGATGCTCTTCGGAGTCACTCTTGGTGGGTTCCTGCCATTAATGGTGGCATGCCCTTACCAAACCACGTGTATAGGTCAATTGGTAGCTGCCATTTCGCCAAGTATTCAGGTACGTTCTTGCTTAACAGTTGCTGAACAAATTAATGATTACTTCCGCAGGTCGCGGCACTGTTCAATCCCTTCCTGGCCCTGGTCCTCACTACATTCTGCGGAGTGACAATCCCACACGTGTCGGACGGTTTCTGGGTTTGTTTCTCGCGTCTTGAGAGTATCGACGTGTCTCTAATCAGCACCGTATCACCAGTGGACTTGGCTCTATCAACTTGTTCCGTACACAAGATCCATCTCGGCCATGGTAGCCACTGAGCTGCAGTAAGTAGTAGACGCTGACGCCGCTTTACATCGAACCCTACTGACAAATCCCACAGTGGCTTGGTAATCCGCTGCAAGAGCGACGAGTTTGCCATTTTCACTCCCCCGAGTGGGCAGACTTGCTCTCAGTGGGCGCAAGACTTTATCACCGTCGCCGGCGGCTACTTGGACAACGGGAACGACACGGCGAACTGCCGCTACTGCACATACGCCGTCGGTGACGAGTTTTACACACCCCTAGGGATCAGCTTCTCGAAACGGTGGAGGGATGCCTTTGTATTCTTGGCCTATGTTGGTGAGTGGTGTCGATATCTTGGATGACTTGTTTTTAAAGAAAACTCAGGCTTCAATATCATTGTGACTGTCGTTGCATCGCGATACCTTCGTTATGCGAAACGATAGACACCTCCACGTTACGATAGACCTTCCACGTCATGCTCCATGTCATGTTCCTCCACATCAGTACCACCAACTCAAGGGATCCGACGCAATTTTTAGATGAGAACGCAAATTAGAATAAATACTACCTTATAATCATAAGAGTTATGAAACTTCCGTCCGATTGCAGTCGTTTGTCTGAGTGTATTCTTTTTGGTAGACGCGAGGAAGAGACCGGTACGCAAACTCTTCAATAGCTCGCATACGCCGACGCCGCCCACGGACTGCGTGGCAGCGGCGCCGGCGAAGAGAATACGATCGCGCACGGCAGACGTGCGGGGCTGCATTTTCGCGGGCGGCGCGGGCGTACGGCGGACGGAGGACGCAAGCGGGGAGAGGGGCGCGATGGGGCGTCGGTTGACGACGGTCTGTCGTCCGCAGCGAAAGACGACGAGTATCTGTACCCTGGCACAGGTGTCGTCCGCAGAGGACTCGAGCGCGAGCATACGGGACGGCCGCGCGAGCGTAGAGAGGGAGCGGAACCGCAAAAGGGATCGGCCCGGCGTGATCCTGCTCCCACCTTTGCACCACCATCCGAATCGCCAGGTCAATGGCTTAAAGACGCCAGATTGCTCGGAAAGCGCCTGGACGTCAAAGTCAAAATCACTGGCTCTGACACTCCGTACAACAAGAAATTCAATGGACGAACAGGGTTCATTCGTGGTCAAGATCGCCAAAGTCTCCCTATCAACGCCAGTGGTAAAGACTCGTGCATCAAGGTTCTGATTGGGCGGAAACACACCATGGCCAAATTGAGGCTGGAGCACATATTTCCACTGACGACAACAGAAAGAGAAAACCAAGTTGCAGAGGAAGAGGCCAGGTCTATCGTTGAAGTCTCAGAATCAACAGTATGGATTATAGGCCCGGACGTCGAAGGCAGAGAAGAATACATTGGACAAGGAGGAACCGTTTTACATGGGGAAAAGAGGATGGGATATATTAAGCTAGCTTCAGGTCCTGTTAGAAAGTTTGTCGATTCGTCTGTATGCAGAACCAGTGAAAAGCTGGGATATTAAATTTGTCCTTGTTGGCATAGTGATCGGCCCCGACTTTGCAAGGACGAAAACAACCCCAACCTTCGTTATATCCAAACACACCTGAGGTACAAGTTCTGGATCTGCACTGAGCAACCATGCGAGTCTACAGTCTCGTCTACTGAGCAGCTTAACGAGACCTTTGCCACTCAAACAGATGCCTCCCATTCGCCATACATTCTGTTCTCTCTTGCCAGAAGGGTTACGTGGCCGAGTGGTTCAAGGCGTCAGATTTAAGTTCTCCTTGCTTCCTGATGGGGGAAACCCCGCGCGAGTTCGAACCTCGCCGTAATCAATACATCTTTTCTCCTTGGAAAGCCTCTTTTTTATTTTTCTTAGACTCGGATCAGCTGTTCCGTTGTCAGGAGTTGTCCCTATTTAAGTTACTTGTTTCTGAACTTTCCCCACACTTGAATCTGGTGCGACTGACGAGATGAGCTCTATCTGATCCACGATGACAACGTGTACTGTCGAGTTCACTCGGGTAATTCGGACAGACCAATCTATGCGTGCAATTGCAATCCCTGATTGAGAATGGCGGTCACGCCCTTATTGTTTATGGGTGCCACTCCGCGAAAATATTATTCATACATGCTCTATCTTTCTCGTAGATGCTGGACTCTAGTTACCCTTAGAAGATCTGGAAAAACGTCTTAATCCGTTTCACGAAAGGTAAGAATATCTTACCCCAGAAGTGCCACCCCCGGGAGCCTGACGTACGCTGGAATAGATGTGTGAGACCTAGTACACCATACTAGTGGAACGTGACGTTACCGGCGAGTCGGTTTAAATTCTTCTGGTTCATCCGAGCCCCAGATGTTGTGCAGACTGCTTTTCCCGCCGGGGGCCTCTCGAACGCGTCTACCATGGATTTAATATGGGTCTGAGAAGCAGCCACCTTTGCACCCACCTGCTTGGCTTGATGCCGGTGCCTGCTACATTACTCTCATTTGTCTCGGCTTCTGCAGGGTCCTCGACTTTGGATGAAACTGCCGCTGGAGCATCAACTGTCGCTGAAGCGACCGAATTTTCCGCTTTGGGCGGCGCCATGGACAATGCATCGGGAACGTCGTCGTCCCCGAAAATATTGGTTCGAGGGCCTCCAGGAAGTTCTCGAACACGCCGAGTGGGTTTGAAATCCGATGGAGAAGCAGCCGCAGAGCCTAATAGTGAATAAAAACTCGTAAACAACCCCTTGCCTGTTGTGGGGAAGCCTCACCCGACGCGACAGTGGACGCCGTAGGGCCGGCGGAGATGGCAGTAGCTGCTACAGCACCGTCACCTATTTTTCCAAACTTTGCATATCCTGCGCACAGTCATCGTCGGTCAGCGGCACGCAAAAACGATCACCCTACGTGGAAGTTTCTGAATGTTAGCAAAGTTTGTGTCTACGGTTGTACCAGTATACCTGCCACAATCAGTCAAACGGGCGGAAACAACAGCAAGCGGCAAATCACTTCAGAAATTCCATCAACGAGCGTTTGGTGAAGACGATACTAGTCGCATCCCAGTCCATCATGCCTGTAAAGACCATCAAGGGTCGGAACTTTGAGCAACGAGGAGACAAACCCAAGTTGGCCGCCCAGTCTCTTTCGTTGGACATGTTCACAGGGGAGGTTGGGGTAAAGCTGAAGAAATGCATTAGGAAGTCTTTCAAAGGTGGCAGGATGGCGCACGAAGACATGGCAACGATGGTTGGAGGCAAGCCGATCGACGATCCGAGTTGGATCACGAGACCGCATGTACCTGCAACGCTTGTCTCCGGCGCTGAGGAGGGCATACAGCACCTTGCCCTCCGCCATCTACACCGACCCCTCCCGCGCAAGCCATCCTTCCGTGTCCACGACCCCATCCATCAGCCATGCTCAGCGACAGCAGCTAGACAGTGCTCTGCGCGTCGACCAGGCCGGCGAAATCGCCGCCAACTACATATACATGGGCCAGATGTTTATTCTAGGAAGGGACCCGGTCTTGAAACCACTCATCCAAGTCCGTCTCCTGGCATTGTTCCTCGGAGGATGCTGACCTTTTGTGCACCACAGGACATGTGGGACCAGGAGAAGAAACACCTCGCGGTCATGGACAAGCTGCAGCTTCAGCACCGAATACGGCCAACGTTACTCTCAGACGTAGCCAAAGTGGCTGGCTTCGGATTAGGAGCAGTTACAGCTCTCATGGGCAAGGAAGCAGCCATGGCCTGTACAGAAGCCGTCGAGACAGTCATCGGAGAACACTACGACGAGTCAGCGCGAACCTCTGGCTTTCTCACACGAATCCTGACATTAATCTAGCCAGCTCAAGGAAATGGAATCGCTCCCGTCGGAGCATCCCAGCATTCCGCTTTTGCGCGACGTGGTGCGAGAGTTTAGAGACGACGAACTCGAACATTTGGACATTGCAGTGGAAAACGACGCCCAACGGGCCCCTGCACACGCCCTCTTGAGTAGTCTCGTTGGTGCGGGATGCAAAGTAGCGATAGAGGTGTGCAAGAGGGTTTAATAGAAGATGCTTTATTTCTCTTGTTGTGGCTGCCATTACGACTTCGCCAAAGGCTGATTCCGACGTTTCCCAGTCCAATTCCATTTGTTCTATCAGGGAATGAGCGGAGAAAGTAGTCAGAGCTTCAGGCCACTGACCTGAGTTGCGTGGATGGTAAGATACAGTCCAGCAGGTATCACAAACACACCCCAAAACGTCACGCGCAGTGTCCTCCTTGTCCAACGGAAATATTTGTACTGGTCTTCTCGCTGGGAAGACGCGCCAGTCAGGGAGAGTAGCTACGGGCGGAGGGGGATTACCATAAGCGAATGACGCTCAATCGCGGCATCCTGGACCTGCGAGCGAGTGAGAGCATAACGAGAGGAGATCACGTCGTCCTACCTTCACATGAGCTATTCAACGGGAATCAGTGAGCGGATAGCAGGAGAGAACTAGAACGAGAAACTAACCATGGTCAGTCATAGCAAACTCGAATTATTCGCCTATGAGAGCCAGGAACGAGGCTTGTTAAGGCTTGTTTATCTGTCGCATTCTCTTTCAAACTCCACCACCATCCACAATGGCCTACAACCGCGAATGGGACCAGGGCAAGCCCTCGTGGACCCAGCAACAGTCGTGGAACCCCCCAAGTGCCCATCCTAGAGAAGATGATTATTACGCTGAGGGAAAGCGGAGGAAAACGAATGCTGGCGTCGGTCATATTTTCTTGTCCTTGTTTCTCTTTTCATACTCTATACTCAGGGCTACGAAGCCTCCCAGGCGTACGTAGAGAATTATGACACCGCATCGTACGGAGGGCGTCCGTCCGAGCCAGCGCACGGTGGCGCACCCTTTGCAAAAAAGCGCCTTCAACCATCGGAACCGAGTCCTCATGTCATTTTCCTGGGCTTGGATCCCGACTTCACCGAGGCCGATGTCTGTCGACTCTATTCTTTATATCGACCATTATCCTGTGACTGAAGCCGGCCATCCAGCTCCAGAAATACCTCACCTCGAATGGCTGCAACATCGAAACCGTCACAATCATCCGAGAGAGATCATCAGGCACTTGCCCATTCGTATCTCTGATTCCGCACCTCCATTAACGTTATGCGCGGTTGGATTTTACAAGGTTCCTCCAAAGGCTTTGGCTTTGCCCAATTTCCAACAATCGAGCATGCCCGTGCATTCGTGGACCCTCTTTTCCCATTCATACAAGTGCCTCCCCCAGCGTCCCATGGCGCCTCGGCCACCGCGCAGTTCTACAAGGCACTTGAAACAGGTCTGCCTCACAATGGCCGACGAGTCAAAATCGACTACTCGCAAAGCGCCACTCCTCACGAAAAGGGCCGCATGAACCGCGGCAACCTGAACGATGGCACCCGCGACATCGGCAACTCCCAAGCTGCTGTCTTATTATTCCGTGGCCTTGATCCTCTTTCAGGTCCCCAAGCCATCCACCAAGCGATGCTGTCCTCGTCTGGTGCCGGAAAGGAGGGCGCCAAAGGCATGAAGCGCATCATCCTGATCAAAGATAAGGTCACCATGGCCAGCTTTGGTTTCGCATTCGTAGAATTTGTGGACGCTCCTGTTTGTTTCAATTTCTTTTGCGAAATGTTCACATCTGATACCCATTGCAGTCTGCGTCGGCTGTGCTGGCTGCAACCATGTCGCCGCAAATTCACCCATCCGGGTTTCGCATCTCAGACCGTCCGGTAGCGGCGTCATTTGCGCATCCATACTCTTTTCAACCTATCGCGGATCTGATGATCCGTGACGAAGCATGCATACCATCATCGCTGAGTCTGGGAGGAGAAGAGGGGACATTGGTCAGGTACTGGGATGAGGGCTCCACAATAGCTCAGCTTGAGTTTCAAGTTGAGCGGTCTGCACAACCAGTGGCCGTTCAAGTGAAGGAGAAAAAAGAAAAGAAGAGAACGAAGGGTAACCGAACATAGATTGGTGCAGACTTTTATTTACAAACGTCCAGGAGACGCCGAGCCAGCTCTTCGCAACGTCCCGGCGGCGCCGTCTGCTCTCCCCGTATCGGACAAGCCGGTCACACTCAATTTTAACAGCAAAGGGTTAGGAAGAGCTGGTCCTGGTACGACATTACCACCACTGAGCATACCCGAGATATAATGATTCCCTTCCTGTAGTGGCCGTCAAGGCGATTTCTTTAGGATTTTCCATGGATGATGGGACTGCAGACTCGCCCGCCGAGAACGACGTGGACGATGACCGGACCAAAGGTCTGACTTTCGCTTTCTAGTCATCTCTAGGGCTGACTTGGTACTTTGAACAGCTCCAACTGGGAAAAAAGTTGCCCCTTTAATCGCGAGCAAGAAGGTACTGTATCCAACGATCCAGATTCTCACACTCCCAATCCTCGCAAATGCCTAATAACGGCGTGACCGCATTTTCAGACCGTCAGCAATATCAACAAGTGGAATCAAGTCCAGGAGGAACTTACGAACGATACGAGTGCTGCCCCGCCGTCCTCTGCTCTGGTGACTCCTTGGCTCTGCCCTTCGGAAAATTGGCTTTTCTATGTTCTCATTGTGTACCCTCTCTATGCAGGCGCCTTTAAAGAAACCCGGGCCATCTGTTCCGAAGCCTTTGAATGCCTCTGTTGATTCGGCTGTTCCGGAAACAGTACCTACTGAGGATGATTTTGAGTTTTCGGACGTCGGCGCTCTAACTTGTCTGCTCTGCGCCCGTCAATTCAAGACCGCAGACCAATTAAAGCGACATAACAAGGAATCAGATTTGCACAAGGCTCGCATTCCACAACTTTATGTTCTATCCGTTTTCAGT